TGTTCCTGACAGGCTGTGCCACCCTGAATCTTCTCTGTCAGCCTCACTAGCTGGGTCAGGTTCCCTTCGTAGGCAGGCTTAATGCCAGAACCCAGTCTCTCCCTGCCTCCTCTAGCATTCCATAGCTTTCTAGAGCTAGGACAGCTAATACTTAAGTAGAGCAAAGAGGCCACCTGAAATAATTGAGACATAGAGTGATAAGGACCAGATAATGGGGACCGAGAGGAAAGGCTGATGGTAGAGGCCTGCACTAGGAGAAATAAATCAAAGGTTTAGGAACTAATAGAATGTAGAAGACGGTAAAAGGCAAGGACGAATCAAAGAACTCCATGGTCAAAGCCTGGATGCCAAAGAAAGCCACGTCTGCAATAGCAGGGGTAGCTGGGGATGGCAGGGGATCTACTTTGGTTTGGAAAGTATTTGTACATAGGACTTTCCCGCTCCCTCTCTGCTCTCTCTCTGTGCTCATTCAGAGCAGGTGTCAGTACCTTCCCTCTCTAAAACGAAAGTTTAAGTTAATGCACGAAAGACAAGCAGGGTGAGAGCATAATGAAACCTTCCGGTGACTGCCACTACTGCCAAGTGAACTTTAAATTTTCTATCTTGCTTCACCAAAAATAATTTGTTTCTATTCCTGAAATTACATTTTAATACTATCCCCAAACACAGAAGTATTTGTGAAAGTAGAAGTTATGAAAAAAGTAAAGATATTAAGCTGAAGACATTTTAGATGTTAAGCCAATGTTAAGTGTTAACTGTGGATATGTGTTGAAGAGAATAAAGAATCAAGTTGTAAGATCTCTGTTTGGTGCCATTGCCTTAAACAATGTCAAAGAGTCATTCTTGTAAAAGATCAATGTTGGTATCTCATATCCTGTTTAAAGCCTGTGATACCTTTAGGGAGAGGTGGAATTAGATGGTTGCTACTCCAGTCACCTGACCAGTCACTCAGTGGTTTGAGGAAGAACTGAGTGTGGTCATAGGTTACAGACCCTCTCTTCTAAACCAGGGGACACACAGCACGTATTCACAGCAATTCTTCTGCTTGTAGACACTGTAACCTCTCGTTGTGAAAATTTCTCGGTCTAACTCTGCAGTCTTACAGTCCAACTTAACTGAATGCCTCCCCTCACTTGTGTGAGAACAAAATCTGATGCAAGTTTCTTAACATTCTCACTATAAAATTCTGATTTTTTAATTAAAAAATTGACACCCAGAAGCAAATTAATCAGTGCCTGGCATGTACCACGTTTTCAATGTAGATCTATGTAGACCATAAGAATGGGTTTTGAGTTAACACACAGTCCTCAGGCACTACTGCCCATGAGGTGCTCGGGGAGATGCGCCTGGGTTCAAGAGATGTGGGCACTGAGAAGAAAGAAGGGTGAGGAAGGGCACGTTCACAAAAGGGAAGGGCTGAGACAGGTAGTGAACCTCTCTTGCACAGGTTTAGGGGAAATGGGAAGGGGAAGAGAGGAGACAAAAGAGAAAGAAAGTCAAAGACAACCAAGATGATGACACCTTGTGTAAATCAAGAGCTATTTTGTAAAACAAGGAAGGACACAACAGCAATGGCACATCTTGTAGAGACTGAGATGGATGAAAATGAGAGAATAACACTAAATGTCAGGATTGGGAGGCTTGGAGCCCCCTCAATGGAGTGCTGGACGCAGGGGCAGCCTGCAGAAGGAAAGAGATGAGAGTGCAGGAGGGAAGTGGAAGCAGCAGACACAGGGTAAATTTTTAAGACCTTTGGTCTTAGTTGTAACTGCCCATGTAGAAGTTAGAGGAACAGCCTGTTTGTTTGTATTGTCAGCTTTGGGGTGATGAAAGCATACGTAAAGACCCAAAGGGAGGCACCTCAGCCACCACTACCTACCCACCACCACCCCCTCCCAAAAAAAAAGGGAAGAAATGATTATGTAGGAAAAAAAGCGTAAATGAGTTTTTGAGTTCTAAAGTTAGGGAAGGGATGGAGCTTAGGTGGAACCAAAGAAGGACCCTTTCACTCAGGAGATGAAAACCGAAGAAAAGAATCACCAAGGGAAAGTAAATAGAAAAGAGTACTCTGCCCTGGAACCCAATAGCTATGGACCATTCTAAACAGAGCTGAAGATACAGGTAACTTTCTGCTTTAAAACAAGGCCAGAGAACTTGAAGTCGGGGCATAAGCCCAGCCAGCCTTATAGGACAAGACAGCCTTTCAAAATCTAGTTGACTCAAGGACCACCAAGCAGACAGAACACAGGACCTTTCTTAACTTCCACCACCATGAACATGTGAGAACAATGGCATTTATTAAAGTGGCATTAATAAATCAGTGTTGCATCCTATCTACCATCAATTAAAAATTCATACAACAGACACACACACTAGGAAAAGTGGTATTAATCGCTGTGTAATAGAACACAGTAAGATTCACGTCCATATGACTGTAAAGCCAAGAGCTTAGGACAAAGAAAGAAAGAAGAGTTACTCTTCTTGGAAGAAATTCATATTCTTTCATATCCCAAAATATTATGGCTCTTGCCTAAGGTGTTCTTTGATGGAGCTGGCCTTAGTCATACCCAAACCCCTAGATTTCACTGTTTGAGACAATGTATTAGAGAAGAAAACACCCTTCTCTTGGTTATTTCCAAATGCATCAGTTTTCCTCTAGATGTGACATCTTTCCTCAATGTGAAAAAAACATGTTACACCACTTTGTTCCTCCGTTTATTTTAAGCTTTACTACTACATTCCATAAAACTCAGCAGAAATTGATTTTTAAAAAAAATATATATATATAGTGACAGTTAAGTACTTGGGGCACTCGATAACATCTTACGAAATTCAAATAAAACATTAGTAATAACGGGTTTAAAAAGAAATGATGCAAGTAAATGTAGCAGAAAAATTCACAATGAATTGTTAACACATCCACTTGGCTTGTCTTTATTCTGTTATGTCACAATTGTGATGCAAAGACAAAAAACAAAAAACAATCTAATGAGACATCTAATAACTTTCTCAGGTTTTTAATGTGGTTCGGTAGTCTTTAGAAGCTAGAAATATAGTACCCATAAATAACTTCTTGGAACTCAACTTATATAAAATCTTGTGTGAATTTGAAAAGGAAACAGAATACAAAGATTGCTAGGCTATCCTCAATAAATATGGGATAATATAAAATAACACTTAATGCTGTCTAAAATGACTTTTCTTAAATATTCTGGGTTGGTAGAAATGTTACAGCCTCCCTACTATTAAAATAATTAAAAAGAGTGACAAGAAAAGATGAAGGGAAGTTCTTTGTAATTGTTCCTACTTTAGGGAGAGAGAAGGTAGCAGCCCAGACCCAGGAAAAGGGCAAGAGAGACAAATGAAGAGACTTTCATCAACTCTTTTCAATGTCTTCTTAATGTTACTGTCCAGAGCCCTATTCCCATCTTGGTTATCCATGGTAACTCGAAGACCTAGACTCCCCCAATGCTTAGAGAAACCTGAGCGGGAAGTACTTAAGAAGACCAGTGTATTTCCATCTACAACTGCAAAACAAGGAAGAACAAGATGCCCAGTCAGGGTTGGAAGGAGTCAAGGATCCACAACAGAATCTGGAACTGAAAGTGCATTAGAATTCAGTTCATTCAACTCTGATCTGACTTGCTCAAGGTCACACGGTACCTTGGTGGCAAGGACACAACTAGAACCCAGGTGTCCTCCCTCAGCACAGCACTCTGTTCATCCCTTCCCACTGCTCCTAACCCAAGAAGCCAGTTAGGAACTAAAGAGGATTCAATAAGCAAACTATTATTATTTGCTCCTAAGCCAAGTCTTTTGTCTTTGCCTATCTTTTTATTGCAAAAACTTTCCAGTACCTACAAGTAGAGATATGAGAATAATGAACCCCATATATTACCAACTTGTGACCGATCTTCTTTCATCTATACTCCCCTCTCCTCCAGGATCATTTTGAAACAAATCCCAGAAACAGTATCATTATTTCTTTTTAAATATTAAATGCTCAAAGAAACGATACAGCTGCAAAAGCAGCAGGCTTCTTTAGGAAGCCCTGGTGTCTCTATCCTACACCCTTGTGCTATTGATGGTGTTTTCCTTTTTATGTCACAGCGCTAGAACTAAAGGCCAACTCTTAGCACAGACCAGTAAGATATGCTCTGTGATCCTGTACATACACGGACAATATTAGTTTCTGGTGCAGTGAGGAATTTTGATGAAGGGATTATTTTAGACAACAAACGTGGAGAAAGCTAAACTTACACCAAGAGATAAACGCATTTCCACCTTAAACAATACCCTGATACTGGACATTTGTTTAAATCAGGCTTAATTCTGGCCTGAGATTTAAGGCCAGCTTCCTCCATAAGTCCATATGAAAGGTACTAAATAATGTAATTCTTAAGGTTTAACAAATTCACAAAATAAAATAACAATAAAAAGTTTTCACACCATTAGGGTTATGACTCCTCTAGGACACAGACCATTTATTTGTCCTAAGGACATGATGGATATTTAAAATTAATAAATATAGCAACACTTTTCCTTCATACAGCCATTTAAATTTTGCCCACAGAACAAATACATTTAAAAGACATTTTAAAAATTCTTCATTGACAAATAGGATTGTGTTACTGGAACTAAGTAGACAGATAGATAATAGTGTTCGTATGTGTGTGTATAAATGGATACTTGCAGCTACAATAATGACAAATAACATTTCCACTTCTAATTTTCCATTTCACCGCCCTCTCCCTACACATTAATTTTTTATATGAATTTACAAGTACATATTTAAAAACAAGACTATGTTAGAAAGCCAAAGTGAGTAGAAAAAAGAAGGCAGATCAGAACCCTAAGTTGTTTCACCCTTAAATGAAATAATTTCATTTCAAATATAGATTAATTTTTTCCCTGAAAAAAAAAAAAACCTGCAAGATATAATTTTTTACCTTTTGGAAAATTTAAAAATTTATCTTCTAACAAAATTATGATGTTCCTACCTGCTGATGTTTCTCTAAATTTGTCACTGGTCTTCTTTTTCCTCCATTTCCAAGGCTTAAAGATTTTACCAATGGTGGAGAGTTTCCCCTTTCTCTTGAAGGGAGGTGTTTGGGAGCCTGCTGTTGGGCCATCTGAGTTTGCTATAGAAGCTTTGTCCAGTCCGTCAACTGTATAAAGAAAGCCAAGTCAGAGAAAAGCTGTAATAAAAGTTTGAAACAACATCATCTATGTCTTCCTGCACTGTTCAAAGTAAACATGCCCACTTTAATTGGAATCTCACATAAAGTTTGTTTTGCCTCATTTCCCTGCCAGTAGAACTCCTCTAATATCAATCAATAAATCAATCATTCAGAAATTACAGTCCCCTTAGATAATCATTTTGAGGAAACAGAAAAGAAATAAGAGACCTACCTAAAAGGTAAGGCCAGATAAATAAGGGTCTGCGAAACAGCTGAATCCATCTGCAACAACTACATCAATATTTTGGGCAGAAATAGAGTATTCTAAGTGGAAACAGGATGTTCCTCCAGAGACTAGTTTGGCATCCTCAGTAATGAAAATGACAGTTATGGTGTAGTTAAAACCAGGTTTTTTTCCTTCACAAAATAAAATTTAGTGCCAAGAAGCTAAATTCTAAATTTTACTATACTAAAACTATCTTTGCTTGTTACAAAAAAGTTTTTAGCTTCAGATAGACTGATAACTATCACGAATGACAAAAAATACGTGGAAAATATGGATGTCGTAGGTAATAGAACATATCTTTATGTGCCTCAATCATTTCATCAATCAGAAGAAAGGCCCCAAACCTTAAGTTGCCTTACACTATGTTCATAACAGAAAGAAGATGGGGATAACTTATATTACCCCAAAGATTAAATTTTAATGGCAGAAAATGGGAAGCAACTAAAGAATGGATATAACTATGGTATTTTTCATGCAATGAAGCAGCACTCAGCAATTTAAAGAAACGGAGCCACTGATGCCTACAAACAAGGTGAATGTATCTCAAAAACACTGTGCTGGGAAAAAACAGCAACACACAGAAAAGTACATCCTGTGTGGTTCTATGTATATGAAGTTCTAAAACAGGCAAAATGAATTTATGGGAAAACAGAAAAAAAGAAGAAGAAAGAAAGAAAACCAGAACAGTAGTTGCTTCTTGGAGTGAAATGGATGTGGGAATTAATTGAGAAGAGGCTTGAGGGATTTTCCTGGGGTGATGGAAATTATCTCAATAAAGGATGGATTATACAAAATGCATCAAATGGTATTTATGATAGTGTGCATTTTTCTTTATGTAAAATCTACCTTTAAAAAAACCATAAATAAGTAGTGAAGTCCAAATAATGGCATGCACGCTGATGTGTTTAGGGATGAAGTGTACTGATGTCCATCAAAAATAATAAATTGATGGATAGATGGAATGGATAAATTTACAATATAGTAAAATATAGCAAAATCTTAAGTGTTGAATCTAGGTGGTGGGTGTGTGGTCATTAATTGCATAATTCTTCCATCTCCAAAACTTTCACAATAAAATATTGGGAAAAATAAAACAAAAATTGAATGGCAAGAATCTCTGCTTCTAGGAAAATGGAGTAAACTTACTTTTTCCCACTTCTCCTGCTACATACAACTAAAAAAAACCCTGAATGCTATATATAAAAGAAACATGAAAAGACTATATAAGGTGAAAAGAAAGTAGGCCAGCTTGGGACCTCAGGACCTAAGAAACAACATGGAGGTAAGATCCCTGGGTTTTCCTTTAGTCTCATGTATTCCAGACTTGCAGCTGAACCTGAAAACACCAGTGGGCACAGACCAAAAAAGCCTCAACAATAGCCTGCTCTCTCTAGCCAAAGGAGCAGGAAAGGGACAGCCTAGCAAGACAGAAAACTTTCAGACAATAACTGCTCCACTCCAGACAAACACCACAGAAGAAACTATAACCATCCAAGCCAAGAAAGGCTGAGTGGGCAGAATAGACTTCTACCCTCTAATGAGGAGCCCCAAAACCCCTATCAGAGTGGTGTCAGAGAGGACCAAGTAGGGAGCCAGGACCTTCCTGTGCACCAGCTGTTAATGAAGCATCCTCCACATTGTCAGTGGAGACCATGTGGGAACCTGGTCTTCCACCCATACCCAGTAATGAGGTATCTCTTATTCTCCTTCCCCGCCAGTATTGGGGTCACACCAAACCACTGCTCAGCGGGAACAAGACCACCCTCACCCACTATGGTGTCAGTAGAGACCACGTGGGGATCTGGAAATTGAACCATGCCCAAGAGTAACGAAGACCCTTCCCCCCCATTTCTGCCGCCAGATATCAACAGAGGATGAAGGGAGAACCTGGGTGTTTACCTCCGCCTGGCAGTAATGAGGTGGCACCCCTCACTTCCCTTGCTGGAGAGGTGTCAAAGCCAGTTAAAACAAAAGGTTTCCATAACATTTACAGTCTCATAATATAATACAAAAATGTTTTAAGTTTCAATCAAAAATCACTTGACATACCAAGAACCAGGAAAATCTCAAACTGAATGAAAAAAGACAGTCAATACAATGCCAATACCTTAATCCTTATAAGTTCTCCTTCCAAACAAGAATGATAAATCCTGTTCTTCCCACTCATAAAGTCAACTCTAATTTCAGGCAGAAATGCAAGTTCGGCAGTGAATGATTCTTCTGTAAATGGTTCCTAACCCTACTTTACCCCAGCCACGTTGGCCACAGTGCAGCAGGCAGAGATATGGGAAGGACTAATTTGGAAGCTAAGCCAGAGTTAAAAAGTAAAATCCTTATTTACTTTAACTTCCACTCCTGTCCAATTGCCTTCCTTAAACTAGGGGCAAACCCAGGGAGAAACTGACCATATGGTATTTCTTCTCCACTGAGACTTTACGCTGAAGGCTCAATTTTGAACAATTTAAATGCTGTGAAATATAAAAGGACTGACTATTACAAACATGGGAACTAAAGTTACCATCTCAAATTCACCTCCGTGGCTACAGACACACATTTAGTTCTCATTTTCTCTCAACCCACATATCTGGTTCCCTGACACTCCATCAAAATTCTGCTTTTGATCTGAACCACTAAGGAATAGTCTATTTTTTCTCCTGAAGACAAAAACAAACAAAAACAAAAATTAAATATTCCTTAGGTGACAGAAGGTGACAGATGGGGAGACTGAATGAGGCAGCTGAAAAATGAAAACCTTCATGTTAAATTCATAGCTACATAAGACATTAACTGCCATACCTTTCTTTATTTTGCATTTACAGTTTTAGTCTTTATCTCTACTCCGGAAGGGGCCTGGGCCAGTGCCAATGACCACAGCAGAACACGCACACACATACCTTTTTCCTGATTGAATGAATCCACCTATAATTTTGTAATTATTGGGCTATTACAGTAAACCACACTTGCAATTAAGAACCATACGTCGGCACAGTTGGCCACACTGCCATTGTACTTCTTGTAAATCATGAACATGAAGGGGACTGCCACCTAATTTGGAGTAGTATAAACAGAATATTTACTCCCTTTTTTCCTCCAAACACCTAGGATACTGCCAGGACCATTGATAATTCTTTTATTTTTCTTTTGGACCAATTTACCATTAAAGTCACTTTGAAATTTTTGAAACATTTTTTCACAACAAATCTAGTGAATTTGGCATTTACACACAGATAAGAACAAATTGCCAGGTAAAGCCCAGATGAAAGTCTGATTTCCCTGTTTCATTTTTATTTTTTTTAACATCCATGTTTTAATTTATTTATTTATTATTATTATTTTTTAGCCACGCCACTCAGCCTGCAGGATCTTATTTCCCCAACCCAGGATCAAACCTGTGCTCCCTGAAGTGGAAGCGCGGAATCTTAACCACTGGACCACGAGGGAAGTCCCTGATTTTCCTGTTTTACATGTTTACTTTGATCCACTTACATGTTATGAAGAGTGACCTGTCACTCAGCAGGACTTTCTTTTTCACACTGGAAATCAACATTTAAAAATATTTAATTTAATTAATTAATTTATTTAAAATCTCCTTGATGAGGGGATTAATAAAATTTACTTTTAATTATTTTTTAAAAATTTTTATTGGAGTATAGTTGACTTACAATATTGTATTAGTTTCTGCTGTAGAGAAAAGTGAAGCAGTTATACATACACATATATCCACTCTTTTTTAGATTCTTTTCCCATATAGGCCATTACAGAGTATTGAGTAGAGTTCCCTGTGCTATACAGTAGGGCCTTATTAGTTATCTATTTTTATATAGTGTGTATATGTCAATCCCAATCTCCCAGTTTATCCCCTCATCCTTACCTCCTGGTAACCATAAGTTTGTTTTCTACATCTGTGACTCCTGTTTTTGTAAATAAGTTCCTTTACTTTTAATTTTAATTTTATATTGGAGTATACTTGATTAACAATGATGTGTTAGTTACAGGTGTACAGCAAGGTGATTCAGTTATATCCATACAAGTATCCATTTTTTTCAAATTCTTTTTCCACTTAGGTTATCACAGAATATTGAGCCAAGTAAATATTATTTAAATATTTTTTTAAAATAGTCATTAGCTGTTCAAATGTAGACATTTTAAATGACACAGCTCAGTCTATCTTCCCACCAAAGTAAGCTCATTCCTAACAGGATTTCCCTGCACCACCAACCAGTAAGATCCAGAAAATACATGAAGATTTTACTTTTCATTTAAACGGAAATTTATCAATTAGACAATCCCAGTGCTACTGTGACCACAGAAGCCAAAAATAAATGAAGCTAGATAATTAACATATAAATTAAACTATAGACTTGGAGAGTCTTTTCTTTGAGATCTGAGAACTGAATGACAAGGATTCTTAGAAAAATTAATCCTATTTAATATGAGTTTGCAGTATTGTTATAATGTTCAATAGTTCTCTAATAGTCTAGATATTCATTTTTGGTTTTTCTCCACACAATTATTTCAGTCACTGAGAAAGTGAGACAAATGTGGCAGAGCATTCCACCTCACAAATTTCGTAGGTGAAAGATGATTTAGAAAACAACCTCAATAAAAAAATTCCCAGTACTCATTCTAAAGAAAGTGATAGCTACTCTAAGAAAAAACAGTGGCAAAGATGGCCTCAACTGTCCTCTAAATATCCTTACAT